AAAAAAAAAATATATATATATATACATATTTATGTACAAATACATACAGTTATTGTTACAAATAAAATAATTCACATAACAATCATGGTTTTTCAATTTTTTGTTGTGTATGAATAATTATAAATATATTTACGTTGCTAGTTATCAAGTATTAGCAAATAATATTACCTTTTTGTAATCATCTTGATTTGTGGTCAAAGCTTATACCATCGCTATTATGATTGTACATAACAACGAGTAACTATGATTAAATGAGAAAAATTTAGAAAAATTATGGGTTTAAAAGTATTTTCAAGTCCCGTATGGATTTTTCTATAAAACTTTGAAACATTTCATCAAAAAAACTAATAAGGACTTACTCGTCTTTTCTGCACTTCAAATTACTTATAATTATCTGCATCTGAATGAAAGCCATCCAGTATAAAATAGTACATAAACAAATTAGACACGTTTGACTACAAGGATTATCAATTAATTCCCCTCGAACTCTATGAATCGTACTTTGAGAAAAAAAAACTGAATTATATACGACCAAATTTTATGTGAGCTTTTAATTATTTCAAGTCACAAAAACAGAAAATCTTAAAAAAATTTTTGTATAACTTTCCAAACAAAGGCACAACATGTTTTCAAAAAAGTTTTGCGTATTTTTGATTGACGTGAAGGTCTTTCTTTGTTCTTCTTTGCAGCCATTATTTCAACATTAGAAATATTTAATTTGACAGTTTCCTTACTGACGAAGCCGGGAATTTTTCTTAGAGCTTATAAAGTTAAGCTAAACTACTATAACGTGCAAATTACTCCTTCCGTGCACCTTCGATTCATCGCTACATGAGGCTGTTGTAAAAAGACATAAAGACGCAGTGCACAAATTTTTAAAGATTTTTTATCAGAAGTGAAAAACTAGCGTATTTTTACAAAACTTTAAGCTTATTCATTGCTGTTGTTATTGATTTCATCAAGATAAAAACAATACTGAAACCATCTAGGAAGTGTCAACAATTAGTGTGCAAAATTTCAGCAAAATCGGTTCAGTAGTTTTCGCGGTTAGCGATTTCAATGGTTTTAGTGACTTTGTTTTATACATTAGTATAATATAATAATTAATTTGTAGGTATTTTTTTTAGTAGCTTTGAATTTTTTAAACGTTTTCGTTCTTGCTCATGTCATGATTCTTTTGAAAATAACCTATTAGAAAAACTTTAAAAATTTATATAAGTTCTGCATATTTTAAACTATCTGAAAAACTGTATATTATTGTCATCCCTGCGTTCGATTATTACTCCCACACCTCCTTAATTGTTATCTGACGTAAATAAATCATTATGCTTCTGGAAACAATACGTTTAATGGTCAATGAAAACGTTAAAAATGTATGCCTTGTGTACATTAATTAAATTAAATTAAGAACCCAGTACAAATAAATCCCAAAAGTAAGATCGTCATTTGAATGAGACAAGCTTTTTACGCTAAATATACTGTAATCAAGCACAACTGAAGATAATATAATTTTATTGCCTTCAAGGAAGCAAAATCTGTAGTCAACACTAAATATGATATTACATTTTTGTTCAGCACTGGAAAGCGTCCTGTGTTATTTAAAATAAAAATTCCATTACAAAATTAAAGTACCAATCGAGTACGTCTCAAAAAAATGAGTTTCCCAATATAAATTAACAATACTCACTGATAACTACATATAAAAGTTCGTCGTTTAATAATATGTCATATTATTTTACATTAAATTATTTTTTTTATACTTTTTAATAAGCTTTATTTCATCCAATATCCCTCAACCACTTTTAAAAAATAATACAAACATGAAAAGTTAATAACAGTATCTAATAAACAAAACACTGATTTATGCAGGTAGTGTTTCTTTGTAAATTATTTATTGATTTTCTGGGGTGGTCGAAACACATCTGAAGCCTACACTGTTGAATGTGGCGTTGGTGAACATAGGGCTTCTATGTGTACATGGAGATAATCTGACACATTCCTGGGTGTCGTCACAATTCAAGTGACTATATTTAACTACTTTTTGAGTCCCGTGTTCTGGTCCAGTCTGAAAAACACATATTTTCTGTAGGTTTACATATTTTTATAGAATAAAGCACTTATTTAACGCAAAAATAAGCTACATCAATTTCAGTTTAACAATCAGTGTTTTCAGGTGGCATCTATGCGTTATAAAGGCAAAACTTACACCAGTTAAGAAATTATAGTATCTGACCCTCGCATAGAAATTTTTAGAAGAGAACTTTAAAAACATACTTATTACATAGAGTTTAGTTTGTAGTCACTGATGTCTCAGAAAAAATTTGTTCATCATTATAGTTTTCTTGATGAAAACAACATTTTATTTTATTGATCATCTTTATTATAACGTGTGTATTTTTTTATCGAAATATGGGAGAAATAATCACAAAAAATTAAACAATTAAGTACCACATTATTTTAAATAAATTATACAAAAATAATAATTATAATAGGATTAGTTATGACAATAATAGTGATAATAATGATGATAATAATAATAATAACAATAATCACAAAAGTTAAAAAATAAACAACAATTTTTTACGAAGTCTTGGGCAACAATTACTTTTAAAAAAATTATCAGTTTTATCTATCGTAATTTTTCTTTACAAAATAAGTCAAAAACCTTTTTATAATCGACTGACTAACAGAAGGAGATGGTAACAGGAAAAGAAAAGCTAGAACTGCTGAGTTTGAATTTGTATGGCTTATCTTTGGTACGTAACATTTTACTTACAGGATTAAGATCATTTTGGTTTAAATTATCGACTCCCCACCAATCAGAAGTCCACTCCGAGAAAGAAGTTTGATAATAAACAGGTAATCCCATTACTTTCAAACAGTCCTCGTTGATGTCAAAATCCGTGAGACTTCGACACTTGTTTTCTGAAAAATGTCAATATTAGAAGAAATATTGAATACAACTCGTCGAAATACTACGATCAATATAATGTAAGCCTGTGCTTACCATTGAATTTTAGCGAACAACGTCCAGGAGGATGCTCAGTTATGTCATCCACGAGCTTGTCTTTGATTCTGCAACTAGCCTCCCATTCAGCTTCGGTTGGCAGTCTTTTACCCGCCCACTTGCAGTAAGCTGCGGCGTCATTCCAAGAAACATGCACGACTGCAAAGTTCATTGATTCTGCAATTACAATTTCACGTTATTCAGCGAGATTTCGCAGTTCTTAATATTTCATATGAACACTTGCTTGTTGTATTTATTTCTGTATTTTCATTACATTTGGATGTATACAATCTGATAAAGGAGTACTTTATATGTTGAACAAACTGACTTTTGGTAGACTGATTTTGAGGTATCTACTAAATATCACGTCTGTCGTACTATAAAAACTATAAGCAATGCACATAGTATTTAATTTATTTGTTTATTAACCGTAGGATTTAATGTCATACTACTAGTAGTAGTATTAGACCTATGCAGAGTTTTTACGTATTCTATTGTCCCTAATCATTATCTTCCTTGTTTTTTTTTCGTTATCGTTTTTTTCAAGTAGGCGACTCTTGCATACGTCATCTATCCTACTGCATAGGTACTATTTACCGGGCGCAGTGATTGTTTTAAGCACATCCCAGCTATGGTCAAGTTTAATGGAAAGATATTTTTCAGTAAACTGGCCAGGTGTTGGCTTTTCTTCGAAAAGGTAGCCCGTGGAGGTCCCGGCATTACCAGAAAAATTGACTGTTTGTTTTAAATTCCGGATAAGAGGTGTTTCAGCATCATGGGTACTCATATCATTGAAAATGCTCGAGGTTAAAATCTCGATAATTTTCTATGGGATTTGAATCCTTGATCTCTCAATTTTCTCCGGCTAGGAGGCCAGCACGCTAACCACTGAGTCATCGAAGATTTTAACAATAATTTCATATATAACTAGCAAATAATAAAGCATAAGACAATATGACGAATATTTATGTAAAAAAATATTTAAATGTTTCATAGTTGGGAATATTGTATATTTTGAAATCTTTTACGACAAAGCAATGTACACATTTATTTTGATTTCCTTCATTGTCTTATGGTACTATTTTTCGTAAAAACATTTGTCACGTAGTTTCTTTCAACATATAAAATACGTACTCTTCGTTTTTCGTCGCATCAGTCTCTTTGTATAAAAAGTTCAAGTTTAACTTTGAAAATTAAAAAAAAAATGATAAAAAATTAGCTTAGTTACGATATACCTGATATACTGGAGCCGATTCCTAGAGGTGTCCTCCAAGTAGCATTTCTGACAGACAGATATCCTGATGAAATAACGTTAGACTGTCTAATTTTCTTTTTAGCAGATGGGACTAAGTATTCATCATGTACTATTGAGTAGCCTTTTTTTTCAGCTTCGGTTACGTATCCAGTGGTGTTGACGAACTTTTTAAAATCTGCGTTGCTCACCGCGTACTCGTCAATGTAAAAACGGTCCAGTCCAACCAAACGTCTCGGTCCTTCACCATTACTTAGATAAGATTGGTTGTTTGAGCCAATCCAATAGTACCACTTATCATGTTTTCTCCAGGTTTTATGAGACAACTTCTGCCCTTCTACAAATGAATTGAGGGAGCAAGATATAAAATACAGGAGCAAAATTATAGCTAACTTGAGCTTAATCTGATAGTTTATCATTTTGTATCGATGCTGGAAATTTGTTTTGGTTTACTAAAAAATATTCAGATCTAAATGGAGTATGTATTTTATAAATTTATAAAAGCGACGTAGCCAAGTATGAAAATTTAGGAAGCTTTCGCATCGCACTGAAGGGAATCGTCCAACTACTGGCGATTTATATAAAGTTGATAATGAATACGTTAATTAGCATGAAATTTTTAACTATTATTTCATCATTGTGATTCTCTCAGATTGAACGTTTTAACAAAGATATAGATATGATCTTTAATAGCTTGGGGATTCTTCCAGGATAGTTTAACGAAATTACCTCTAATGATCCACGTGTAAGTATTATTAGAATGAGCAGATTAAAAAAATGTTATTTATTTGAAATTCTTTGTTCCTTTTATTATTATCTATAACATGTTATTTCCAAAGCCAATGAGCTGTAAAAAAAGTTGATACCCAACATTATAAGAAAAATATTCTATCAACTGAGTGATAATTATAATTAAACATTTATAAATAATTGACTAATATGAGCACGATTCGACGATCATTACCTCACCGCGTACTCGAATTTAAGGACACATATTGTAAATAAGTAGTAAGCGTACGTAGGAATGATGTTTCCAGGCATCCAATATAGATCCTTCGATTCGTTGCTACATGACGCTATCGTGAAAAGACAAAGATGTGAGGTGCAAAGTTTTTTAAAGATTTTTCCGATGAACAGAGGAGTTAAAAAAGTATCTTGTCAACGTGTGAGAATGGTTACATATTATTAACTGTAATTTGATCGTAAAAATACGTCCAGTCCCGATATGTAATTGCATTGTAGTCGATCGAAATTATAATGATGCACACGAGCATGAAAATTCCACAAGACATGGGCTCAGCTTAAGGCCACTAGCTTTAAACTATAATTCATTATTATTCGACGATAAGAAAAAAAAAGTCCTGGCAGCAGCTGTCAATTAACGTTGATCGGAAAAAAGTTCCCATCTCCGTTGTACACGTATTAAAATATACGAGTACAGCACCACCTCGATGACAGGTCCTCCGAAATACAAGCCGATAATCACTGCCCAATGTGGTGCCGCACCTGTGACTATATTAGACGAAACCAAAAGCAGCTTCCCGAGGAATGACGCAGTTGTGTAGTTCGTTCGGGTAATGGCCCTGCGACCCAATTATTTCACGGAAAATTGATGACGGGCCCGACTCTTCCCCTTTTCCCTGTTGTGTCTTGTACGCGCGCCCATGTATGTTTAGCGTCCGCGTAATGCACCAAGTTAATGGATGGCATCTGCTTTTGCGGCGTGTTTAGACGAAACGCGGAGAAGCGGGAAAATAAACGAGGCGTCGCGCGCGGTGAGTTTGATGATGTACGGCTGGAGCGGAGACTGTGCGACCAAGGAAAAAACTGTGGGGTCATTGTGTTGAAATTCTCGGAACGAAAAATGTTTTTTCATCGCGCGAGTACAGAAACGATGACAGAAGAAATGGACGCGTGGAGAGAGTATTGGGCAACGAAGAGAAAGCTTTGGTGTCTACAGCAGCAATTGCACTTACCGCTAAAGCATATAGTTCCATGAATGTCTACGCGTGTATACTTACTACATTTTTGCGGAACAACTAGATGAGCTCTGCTGCATCTACGTAGATGAGGACAGGATATGCATGCAAAATTTCCTTTTTTTTGTATCTTTGGCTGGCCTTATAAATAAATTACGGTATTATACACTCAGTTTTATAAAAAAAATTAAAAAAATAAGCTTGACTTTTAATTTCTTGGATTGAATGTCCTCACTTCTTGAAAATACAATTCATAGACACTTTTAAAAGTCTACAAAAAAATTAAGACAGTTTAGACGTTCTTCGAGTGTAGGTAGCAAAGATCAAATCGCATCCTCAAGTGTCAGTCAACAAGGATGTTTGAGGTCAGTCTTGGTCCCCAAATCTTGACTGTGATTTTTGTTCATGTCAGAAAGCACTCAACTATTTTTTTCTCTTGTCACACTCTCTAAATTGAACCCAGTGGAAATGTTCACTGTTTTGGTAGTGAATGTCTGTTTCACTTGAAGCTAAGTGAAAATGTTCACTATTTAGATATAAGTTTTTTTTTCACTTTCAATTAAGTGAGAATTCCACTTTTCTAAAGTGAGACGCTCTTCAAAACACTAATCGCTAAGAAATAGTCAAATAATTCACTATTTCCTAAAGTGAAAATGTGTTTCACTGTGTACAAAGTGAAGTTGTCCTTCCGCCTGTATCTACCCTATACATGGACCGAGAATCCTCCAGTGTTCGCGCTAATGGTAGTGATGGCCGTCAGATCAATATTCCGCCATAAAGTTTTGTCGATCACAGTTAGTAAACACGATTTTATTAATACTAGCTTGTATATATAGTAAAGTGTAGAATTATCAAAGTGTATCTATTCATAATTTGTAAATATTGCCAGCAGTTAGTCCATGCTTTTTCATAAGGCAAATATTCGGTTATGTCGTGTACCATGTGTCTATATGATATACGTTGAAGTAAACGTGCCTCTCTGCAGTGTAAAATTACTGTCATTTCACTGTGTGTTTCATGTAGGATGCATTTCAGTTTATCATAAAAGTGTAATGATTCAAATATGATGTTATTACTGTTGTAGCAATTTATAAATACACCACTAATACGTGGTGATGTGGTGACAATTTCACTGCTTTGTGGGCTAAAAGTTCACTGTTTTTGAGAGTTACAATCATTTCACTATTTTATGAATCGAATATTCACTATTTGCATGTGACCTGATCCTAACTGACGAGGAAAGTGAAAATTACACTATTAACCAGTGAAATTTCACTGGTTTAAATTTAAAGAGGACGCTTTCATATTCACCTTATATATTTCATTATTTTCAAAGTTGATTCATCAGTGGTAGGAATGTGTTCTACAGATCTTTGAAATATAATGTAATTAACAACTGGGGTTAAATACTAGATTTTATTTAACTTATCTTATTTTTGGATCACCGAGCAGTGCCCCTTCCATACACTTTAGAAAAACAGTTGATGCACAAATTAAAGGTGTAGAGAAAAAGGTACAAATTTTTACTGCAGAACAAAGAATCATTATAATGATTCGACGTGATGATTTTATTCGACGTGATGATTGTAGTCAAATGCGTTTAAGATAGCTTTTATCACAGTTCTTTACCAGTAAGCATAAATAAGGAATGTAATCAACCAGAAGACAAAAGCGTTGGACATAGCAATGTAGTTTTAATTATCTATTTTTGATTATCATGTAAAAATGGAGCCTCAATGTTTCTCCAAGCCCCTACACTACACGTGCCACGAAATCTATCAGCTCAACAAAAAAAAAAAAAAAAAATGAACAAGATGTAGGTATAACAAATAGCTTTCGTCCAATTAGATGGTGCAGTATGAGCTATAGGTGATACGCCAGTTATGTAATTTACGGGGATATAGAGGCTCGTTTGCGAGCAGGGATCCATCGAGTTTCTTTTTCTCCTTCGCGTCTAACACCGTAAGCGCACCTATACTCTCAAGACGATGCTGAGAGGAAGCATTAGTCTTTCCACGCGGTTGGGGAATGACTCCCTCGTATGAGGGATGTGTACGATGTCTTGTAGTTTATAGCCTCACGACACGTAGTAGCAGGAAAGTATGGATCTCGCCATCTCGCACCAACAGATTTTTATTTTTATAAACCTGTGCTCTGCGACACTGCATTAAACGTCTGTTTGTTACGTGTCTCCGTAATAAATGGTTCAACCATTGGTTCACACATGAAATGTCAAGCCACGACTTTTATGTGCAATCAAACAAGACTCTTGGTTTCGTTGATTCTTCTATTTGACTTCTACAATCTACCGATTAGGACATCGGACTCCTAACAACTTCGGCAACGAGTCAACTTCAAGAAGACCTTGTGTAATGAGCGCCCGTTCCACGGACAAAGTTTCCAAAAGCTGCAACTTTAGCTTTTTGCCAATGTATTTCAAAATAAGTGTTTTGCAGCTTATAAACTGTTGTAGAAATTGCAAAAAAAAAAAATAAATAAAAAAAAAAAAGAAATTTTAACATACCATTAAAAACAAAGCCTCGTCTGACGCACTTTTGCAACACCATAACGATCTCGTCCCTCCTCCGTTTCCGAGGTAACCCAAATAAGAAAAGCATCGCTAATGAAACTACAAAAGAGCCAGCTCGCAAATTCAAAGCTATACCTCCCCTTTGGAGCCAAGCCTCATCAGTGCCATTGAATAAGCATCAGTAGCGTATAGAAATTGACAAAGCCACCGTGTTTTTTTTTGGCTAGGAACGTGGTTGAGATTAGTTAAATGCGGACTCGGGCTATTGGTCGATTCAAGCTCGAATCACTCGTGGTTTTTAACGAGACGGCAATTTTCCAACTTTGGAGGATACAGTGAGCACTTACCTATAAATATGCACAAGGAGGTAGAAGGAATTGCCAAGCAAATGTGAGCCATGCGCATAAAAAAATCTCCGGTGTTTCTCCTGTCTTTTTGGGGATACACACACGCATGACTTTGAGTTCAGAGGGTGAGAGGGAGAGGGACGACACCCATGTGTGGGCGCAAACAACTGGTATGCAGCTCACAGGCTGAAAAAGCGCCACCGGAAGCTCAGATGACACACAAGCCGCGACTAATTGGCAAAACGAGCGATGACAGCAATCGGCCAAGGATACGTGTATAGTTGGAAAGGGGAGAGACAGAGAGAGAGAACCATCGATGGGATGGACGTGTATATATGTACACGGACGTTGAGGTCTACGGGAGAGACGTCTGAGTGTGTCGGACGTCCAAGAGATAATCGCAATTAAGTCTAGAGGAGGGCAAGCAAAGCTTGTACAGTGGATGGTGCAGCTGAGCTTGAGGTGACGCGCGTACCAGGAGGATATAGGAACGAGTGTACCACTTTCTTCTCGTAGAAGTAGCGACAACGTGACGTCGACGGCCGATACTCGTTCTCACGTCT